GCGAAACCCTGTCTCTACAAAAAAAAAATACAAAAATAAAATAAAATTAGCCAGGTGTGGTAGCACATACCTTTAATCCCAGCTACTCAGGAGGTTGAAGCAGGAAAATCACTTGAACCTGGGAGGCAGAGGCTGCAGTAAGCCAAGATGGCACTACTGCACTTCAGCCTGGTGACAAAGTGAAACTCCATCTCAAAAAAAAAAAAATATATATATATATATATTTAGTAAAGTTGTTTTCCTCCTTAAATTACTGCCTGCAAGATCGAAACAGAGTCTCCCATTTCTATTTTGGGATCCGACTGAGTCACACGGTAGTCTTGGCAAATAACTCTGCTCTATCTCTCAGTTTACTGAGACTGCCTGGGAACTTGAACTGTCAGCCAAACAGGAAGAAGGGCCCTTCTGCCTAACTCCAAAAGGCCTAAGTCAAATGGATATGGTGAGATTTAATGATGGATCTAAATTACAACAAATGGATTTCCTATGGGGGGGGAAGCAAACATTTTACTTAACTTCCTCTATATAATTCAGGGCTGGTAGAAAGGGTAGACTATTACAGTGTAGCTGAGCAAATTTTTCCGTGTTTGCATAACATGTGTTTTCAACTAAGGAAACTCCTAAATTCCTACTATATACAATATCCCCCAAAAACCTCAAATGTAAGAAAAAGCAATGTGACAGATTTGACCCTGGCCAAGTTATACTTTTTTTAAGTGTGTTCATAAACATATAAACTACAAAGGCCCTTTTTCTTTTTCAAGAATGGGTATAAAGTGATAGTCCCCCCTCCCACCAGATACTCTTATTTTTGCCCCCTAACTGGTCATGAATTACTCCTGGGTGCACGCTCCCTAAAGTGTTCTGTGTTTTAGTGGTTATAATTTCCCACATCCCATGATGCCCCTTGATAGAATTAATCTTTCTGTACTCACACAAATGGAAACAGAAGAGATGAAAAACCCTGGGGATGTGGCCTCGCAGGTCTCAAAATCATCGGCTGCTAAGCACAACCAGCACTTCTCTGCCTCTCTTCTTGGCTGAGTTCCTTTCTTGGCTCAGAGTTAGATTTTGCATGGCCTAGGAGGCTTAGGACCCAGGGGGCGCCTTTCAGCTGAAAAACAGCTCGCGCTGCAGCAAGCTAGCTGGGAAGCTCCCAGTTCTAAAGAGAGGCTGTTTACCCGAAGAGCATAACAAGGGCAGGTCTGACTGCAAGGCTGGGACTGGAAGGCAGAGCCGCTGCCAAGGGGGCCCCGGTTGGACACTGGTCGTTCAATCACCTGCAAGACGAAGGAGGCAAGGATGCTGTTGGCCTGGGTGCAGGCATTCCTCGTCAGCAACATGCTCCTAGCAGAAGCCTACCGATCTGGAGGTGAGATTACAATCTTTCCTTTCCGCAACAAAACTTCATGAAGCAGGAGGGGTAAAGCCCCCTATTTCCCAAACAGGGCCAGGATGACAGGAAACGAAGCGTTTAGGTGGTTTCTGTGGTCCTGTGAAAGCTTTTCCACCCCTCTTTTCCTTGCCAGGGTCTTGCAGCTCCATCTTTGCCATTAAGAACAAAGGCAAGAAGCCACTTTCTCTTTGCCTTTCCTTGCTCATGAGTGGATGGAGCTTGGGGGTTCATCTCCCCTACGACCCAAGTCCTATTCTTTCTAAGCCCTTTGCATGGTGTGGTCCTCCTTCCCCAGCCTCCTCCTGTGACTCTCCTGCAGAGGGGAATGGGAGCTTGGAGTCTCATTCAGGCAGCGATAAGGCCGGTTCACTCCGTTTGAGGCTCTCTTGAATCTTTTGCCTGACTGAATCAAGGCTCCTGGAGAATTCTCTTTGGAGAGAGTATTGCCTGTTAAACGGGCAGAAGGTGGCCGTATCCGTGGAGGAGGGAACACCGGAGTTTACGTAACATGGCATTACAACACAGTGATAAATGTCAGGTTTGGATGCCCACCGTCCTAAAACTCCCATCTTCTCAAAGGGACCCTAAGCCAGGCCTCCTCCTCTCCATCTCCTCTTCCGAAGTGGTCACAAGTTCAAGAGTAACAACCATTTGCACTTCTACAGCTTTCCGGCTTTCAAAAAATAAAAAACACCTAACAGTCTCTTGCGTTGACTGAGGGCCAGGCACAGGCTAGGGGCTTCACAGACGCTTTCTTTCCTTCTCTTTTGGGCCTCACAGCAACCCTCTGAGGTGCGTGTGCGGTGTGGCGTGGGGGGCGTGGGGGTGTTGTCAAGGGAGGAGACGGTGGCCCAGCAGGGCCCGGGGTTCGTTAGCCAGGCTGGGACTCGGCCCGGGTGATCCCGGCTGCCCTGCCCGCCACGCTGGGCGTCTTCCGTTCGCTGCCCGTTACTCTGTGTCCGGGGACTTCTCTTCCTCACAGGCTGTTTGTGGGACAACGGCCACCTGTACCGGGCGGACCAGCTCTCCCCTGCGCCGGGCCTCCGCTGCCTCAACTGGCTGGACGTGCAGAGCCGGCTGGCCTCGGCCCCCGTGTTGGGTAAGTGTCCTCCAGGGGACCGCGGCGGCGGCGGCGGCGGCGGCGGGGCTAGCGGGCGGCAGCCGCGGTCCAGGTCCCAGCCCCGGCACACGTTTCCTTCTCTCCTCTCTCAGGCGCCGGCAATCACAGTTATTGCCGAAACCCGGACAAGGACCCACGCGGGCCCTGGTGCTACGTCAGTGGCGAGGCCGGCGTCCCTGAGAAACGGCCTTGCGAGGACCCGAGCTGTCCAGGTACCGCCCGGGACCCCGGGAATCCCCGCGCCGGGGGCTGACAGGGAGCGGCAGACACCGCCGTGCACGTGCGACCGCGCGAGGCCGGCCGGCCCCGCTCCGCCCCCGCGCCGTCCGATTGGCCAGGGCTATCTCCAGGCCGCGGGGCTCAAAGCCTATTGGCCGCCGTCGCCGCTCGTGTGAGCTCATCCGCCGCGAGCGCTTGTAAACAACTGCGCGGGGCTGGGTCTCTCCGCCGGGCGTGGTTGGGTCTCTCAGCTGCGCGCCCTTAGGAGCGGCTCATACCCCGCGAGAAGAAGCTGTTTGGGGCATCTGAGCTTCAGAGAACTTAAGCAATTTACCAAAGGCAATGGCAGGGGACAGATTTGAATCCACGTTTTTTAGATTCCAGAGCGCAGGCTTTTTGCTTCCAAGGCAGCAAGACAGCTTTCTAGGATTGGATGGGATAATCAAAGTAAAGCACTTTTTTTCTTTTTCTTTTTTTTTTTTTTTGTGTGTGTGACAGAGTCTCGTTCTGTCACTCAGGCTGGAGTGCAGTAGTCGGATCTCGGCTCACTGCCACTTCCGCCTCCCAGGTTGCAGTGATTCTTCTGCTTCAGCCTACCCAGTGGCTGGAATTACAGCCGTTCACCACCACGCCCGGCTAATTTTTATATTTTTAGTAGAGTTGGGGTTTCACCATGCTTGCCAGGCTGCTCTCGAACTCCTGACCTCAGGTGATCGCCCGCCTCGGCCTCTCAAAGCGCCGTGAGCCACCGCGCCCGGCACAAAATAAAGCATTTCACCTAAGGATTGGCATAGAGCATGCACTTAAATGTGGGCTGCTCAAAGGAAGCATGGGTTTCCTGGAGTGGAGGTGGGGGGATCCCCTGCAGAAGACGGCAACCGAGCAGGATTTGAACAGATGATGTCGTGGAAGGCAGAAGAGAGGCCTTTCCCTACGGCCTTCCCTTCTCATTTGCCTTGTCCCTGAGATGGTGCAGCCCTCTCAGGCCTGATTTTGCCTGTAGGGCAGAGTTTGACTTTAGGTTGTGTCTGTAGGGAGGCATTCTTAGGTGACCCACTTCCATCTCCCCTAACACTCGGACCAGGTTCAGCTGTGGAATTCACTCAGGGCAGGTCCTGATGAAAGGTGTTTCCCACCTCATCTCCAGAGACAACCTCCCAGGCCCTGCCAGCCTCCACGACAGAAATTGAGGAAGTGTCTGAAGGGCCAGGTGCAGATGAGGTGCAGGTGTTCGCTCCTGCAAACGCCCTGCCCGCCCGGAGTGAGGCGGCAGCTGTGCAGCCAGTGATTGGGATCAGCCAGCGCGTGCGGATGAACTCCAAGGAGAAAAAGGACCTGGGAACTCTGGGTATGACAGCCCCCGACCCTTGCCCTTGTTGGGATTCATCAAGAGATGTCATTTGTTGATTGTGTGGGGTTTGGCTAATGGGACCTTGTGTCCTGTCCTTGGCAGGCTACGTGCTGGGCATTACCATGATGGTGATCATCATTGCCATCGGAGCTGGCATCATCTTGGGGTACTCCTACAAGAGGTCAGTAGCTTCTCTTCTGGGTCCTCTTGAGAGGAGGAGGGGAGGAAGGTACACAAAGTCAAATCAAACTTTGTGGCTTTCTTACCCAAAAGGAAGCAAGATGTTAAAAATCAACTCAAGATGCAGAGACTTGGTCCTAGTCTTTATCCACTGACCTTGGACAAACCTTTTCCTTTGGTGCCTTTACACCTCACTTTAAAAGCCTTGTGAGGTGTGGGTTCTTGTACCCCATTTTACAAACGAAGAAGCCTCTGTCAGAGACTTGCCCAAAGTCACACTCTGGGAGTGGCAGAACCTGGATTCAGACCCAGCTCTTTTGATTGCAAATTCCCTGCTGTTTGATCCAACATGCCCGACATTGAAGTGAGTGGCACTGCAGAAATCAGGCTCAACAATGATTGCATGGACTTTGAGACTGAATTCTTTCTGTGAGCTCTAAAATTCTGCTACTAGAAAAGGTTTCCAGCCACTGTTTTTTGCAGTTGGGGCTTAAATTTCCTGTGCTATAAGCAGTGAGACTCCTCTGCTAGGGAAGAAAAAAGTGAGTTGGAGAACAGAAAAGTCTGTTCGCCACTCTTCACCGCATGTGAGAAAGCCAAAGAGGCTACCTGTGAAACTCAAGGTCATGACCTGTGGCTGGGACAGCAGGAGAAGAAGAATGCTTATTTTGTAAAGTCCCATGAGATGCCAGTCAGTGACTGGTGCATGATGGTAAACCAGACTGGCATTCATCTTTATAGTACTGGCTGATTCCGGAAAATTATTTGCCATTCTTGGGCAAAATCAGGAGGTTTGACTTCTAGCCCTGGGTGTCTAATATTCTCTTCTATGTTCTGAGAAATCTTTCAGTGAAGAAAGTGACACAGTAGCCTGCATTTTTCCTTCCTTCTTTCCTTTCCTCCCCTCTTCCCTCCCTCCCTTCCCCTTCTTTTGTTTCCTTTCTTTCCTTCCTTCCTTTCTTTGATTTTATCTTTTTTTTTCAGGGTCTCACTCTGTTGCCTAGGCCTGAGTACAGTGGTACAATCATGGCTCACTGCACCCTCAACCTCCCAGGGCTCAAGCGATTCCCCCCATCCATCCCCACCGAGTAGCTGGGACTACAGGCATATCCCATCATGCCTGGCTGATTTTTAAATTTTTTGTAGAGACAGGGTCTTACTGTGTTGCCCAGGCTAGTCTCGAACTCCTTGGCTCAAGCGATCCTCCTGCCTCAGCCTCCCAAAGTTTATAGGCATGGTTCACCATGTCTGGCATGCAGCCTGCATTTTCTAGAGGTAAGGTACATGTCTGAGCCCACAGCCTCAGTGGATCACCCAGCAGGGCACCTTTGGAGGCCTTGTAGTCAAACTTCTCATTACAGATGAAAAAGGGGAAGTGTTGGATATAATAACAGTGAGCAAACATTTGTCATATGCCAGACACTGCTTCAAGCACATGCTTTAACTCATTTCTCATAATCACGCTTATGAGGTAAATGCTGTTATCTCCAGTTTACAGATGAGGAAACTGAGGCAATAGGGGATTATATACCTTATCCAAGGTTGCACTCCTAGCATTTGGTGGAGAGAAGTCCTCTAGCTATCTCTGTGACCTTAGGCAAATTGCTTTGATTTCCTACTCCAGATCATTGTGTGGAGCTAAGGCTTGTGACACTTAGCTCAGGGTGTGGCACATAGTAAGTGGTCAGTAAGTGATAGCTGTTTTTCTTTTCTCTAAAATGTGTGGACAGGCAGGGTGGCTCATGCCTGTAATCCTAGCACTTTGGGAAGCCAAGGTGGGCAAATTACGAGGTCAGGGGTTTGAGATCAGCCTGGCCAACATAGTGAAACCCTGTCTCTAGTAAAAATACAAAAAATGTACCAGGTGTGGTGGTGGGCACCTGTAATCCCCAGCTACTTGGGAAGCTGAGGCAGGAGAATTGCTTGAACCCGGGAGGGGGAGGTTGCAGTGAGCCGAGATCATGCCATCGCACTCCAGCCTGGGTGACAGTGTAAGGCTCCGTCTCAGAAAAAGAAAAAAAAAAAGTGGATAATGGACCAGGCGCAATGGTTCACACTCATAATCCTAGCACTTTGGGAGACTGAGTTGGGTGGATCTCTTGAGCCCAAGAGTTCAAGACCACTGTGGGCAACATGGCGAAACCCTGTCTCTACAAAAAAATACAAAAATTAGTCAGGCATGGTGGTGGGGGCCTGTAGTCTTAGTTATTAAGGAGGCGAGGATCACCTGAGCCTGGGAGGTCAAGGCTGTGGTGAGCTGTGATCATGCCACTGCACCCCAGCCTGGGTGACAGAGCGAGAGCCTGTCTCAAAAAAAAAAAAAAGTGGGTAATAGAGTAGTGCTTTCTGGTGGGTCCAGAGATACTTGCTTATTCATTTCAGAGTTATTGATGTAGTGGCCCTGGCCTTACAGTTCATAAGCAGACCTAAGCCACGTTGGCTGAGTTTAGTCCTTGAAATATTTCCTTCTTCCTCAGTCACTGGATGGCATTTGGCTGTCCTCCAATTCTGTGACAGTTTCCAGGCCTTCCAGGTACTTGAACTGACTAAACATTCTTAATTCTGAGCTCAGTTCTGGTGCCCAGTGGAAGTCTTTTTCTTCTAGATTTGTTCCTCTAGGCTGTCACGAGACTGCCCTGAGGCCTAGAATTTATTTTCCTGTAAACTCAGGGCAAGGCACCCAGTCACCAGACTCGCTGTCACTAACGACCGGACCACCCCTTTCCTCAGCACAACTGTTCTGAGAACAGACTGTACAACAGGAAACCGCATGTGGGCTACAAACAAGCTCGAAGCTCCCATCTTTTCCTAAAGTGAGAGAGCAGAGTGTCCTGAAAACAGTTGTAGGCTGAGTGTGGGTTCAGGTGTCCTCTGAGCCTTGGTATCTTGTCTGTTAAATGGAGATACATCCTCCCTCCACACCCATCCATCTAAGATTATTATAAGTATTAAATGTAAACAGAAACAGTAGCACACCAATCAGGTAATAATCACAATAGCAGCCAACATTTATTTCATGCTTTCTTAATAAGTAAGGCCCTATTATGTGCTCTTCCCTGATTATCGTAATTTTTTTTTAGACAGAGTCTTGCTCTGTTGGCTCACTGCAACCTCCACCTGCTGGGTTCAAGTGATTCTCTTGCCTCAGCCTCCCAAGTAGCTGGGATTAGAGGCACCCACCAGCATGCCCTGCTAATTTTTGTCTTGTTTGTAGAGATGGGGTTTTCAACACGTTGGTCAGGCTGGTCTTGAATTCCTAACCTCAGGCAATCCACCTTGGCCTCCCAAAGTGCTGGGATTATAGGTATGAGCTACCACACCCAGCCTCCTGATTATCTTTACTAAGCCTCACAACCACACTAGGAGCACTGTTATACCATTTTACAGTGAGGAGCTGAGACCTGTCAGAGTTAAGTACGATATCCAAGCTACACAGCTAGTAACATATGTCTAAGGATTATAAGTATCTCAACAAGTCCAGTGAGGCCTTGTTGGGAGAAGAGGGTGTTACAAGAGGCCCAGTAGCCTCATGTAAATTTGCTTTGAATTGCAAAGGACAGCAGGAAAAATAGAAACTTAAAAAGAAAAAAAAGCCTGGATTTAAAGGCAGAAGAAACGAGATCTAGTTCTGGAAGTTTTACTTACTCTGGATGTGACATTGGACAAATTATTTACCTTCTCTGCACCTCAGTTTCTTCATCTGTACTGTGGTGGGGGTGGGACAGGTTAGATATGATGATCCTCCCAACTCTATTTCCTAAAAAGACAATATTGCTGGTGATAAGACTGGATTCAGATCTCAGCCCTGCCATTTGCTTGAACAAATGGTGTAACTTCTCTGCATTTGCCTTTTTTTTTTTTTTTTTTTTTTTTGAGACAGAGTCTCACTGTGTCACCCAGGCTGGAGTGCAGTGGCCTGATCTTGACTCACTGCAACCTCCACCTCCCAGGTTCAGGCCATTCCCCTGCCTCAGCCTCCCAAGTAGCTGGGACTACAGGCGCTCGCCACTACACTTGGCTAATTTTGTATTTTTAGTAGAGATGGGGTTTCACTATGTTGGCCAGGCTGGTCTTGAACTCATGACCTCCTGATCCACCCGTTTTGGCCTCCCAAAGTGCTGGGATTACAGACTTGAGTCACTGCGCCCGGCCCTGCCTTCCTACCTCTGAAACAGATCAAACTAGATACCACATAGGTTTGTTGTGAGGATGAAATTGGACAGTATAGTTTAGGCATACAATTAGTGTTCCATACCCTGGGAGAGGAAGTTGGAGGCAGCATACAGTAGGGCCTTACTTATTAAGAAAGCAGGAAATAAATGTTGGCTGCTCTTGTGATTATTACCTGTGGCTCCTTGGGAACTTTTCCTGAGCAGCAGTGTGGCACAGCATTGCCTCTGACTGGGAAAACAGCAGTGGCTCAGAGTAATAACTGAAGACCTGTGTAGTCTGAATGAGGTCTGTGGTGCTTCCATACCCTGGGAGAGGAAGTTGGAGGCAGGCGGCAGTTTCATCTACACCTGCTCTCTCTGGACAGCTCAGCTCCGCATCCTGGCCTTGGAGCAAGCAGGGTAGTTACTGTAAGACTTGAACTCTGCCAAAGGTCATGAGGCTTGCCTAATGGGATAGAGCTTTTCCTTGGCTGGGAAGGCTGGGCAGGCATCAGTCTTCCTCAAACAGGGGAGGAAGGGCTGTAAATGGGGGTGGGTGGGAAGCTCAGCCTGGCTGGGTCTTTGTCCTGGTAGGTTCAAAGGGTCAGTCTGTGACTGAGGAGCTAAGCATAGTGTCTGCACTAGCCCCAGAAGGAGGTCTTATTTTCTGATTAAAAGAGGAGGGAAAAAATGTAAGTCAACACCACTCCACCCCTGTGGGAGAGGAGCTAAGTCAGTGAATAAACCTTTTGTTCTTTCTTGGCTGCCAGACAACACCCAGGCTAACAACCCTCTACCCCCAAGCAGTGAGAGGGGGCTAGGCTGCCTGACGGTCAGTGTAGGGGGCCTAGTGATCTCTCAAAGGTCTCCCAAGGGAGCTGGGAGCAGCCACTGCATCTCTAGGACTCACAGGCACCATTAACAGCAGGCACATGGGATTGAGTGTGCTTCCAGGCTTCTAAATGGATGAGATTAATCCAGTCTAGTCCCAGCATCTGGTTCCTTTACCCTTGGCTGCTCTTCCAGCCTTGCTCTGCCCCATTAATACAAATTGATTATTTTCCCCCCTAAAGACTTGTATATGATGCAGCCTGCCCATTATCAGCAGCTCAGCTGGCCACAGGTAAAAGCAGGGCGCCAAAGTTAAACTTGAAAGCCTCAGTTTCTTCATCTATAAAAGGGGGATTATAGGCTGGGCCTGGTGGTTCATGCCTCAAGCGGCGAGAGGATCACTTAAGGCCAGGAGTTTGAGATTAGCCCTGGCAACATGGCAAGACCTTGTCTGTATAGAAAGAAAAAAAAAAAAGACATCCAGCAGGTACATAGGTAGCTCTTTTCATCCTGGGTGATGGGAAGGCCATTAGGCCATTTCCTGGCATCTTAGTAGATACTCAGGAAATGTGAATTCCTGGCTTTCTCTCTTCCTCCAGCCCCTTAGATTTTGAAATTCAGACCTTGGCAAAAGATACTTGGATATTCCATTTCTTTTGTAAATTGCCCTTTGGTCTTCCATAGGCATAAAGGCTGAAGAAAATTAAACCCAGACCTTCCAGATTTCTCCCTACATAAGCAACCTTGAAGAAACTGGCTTTTAGTATGGAGGTGTTTCCTTCTATGTGGTAACAACTGTACTGATGAACAGTGCTCAAGGCTAGTGAATCTCAGGATATGAGTTGGGGAGCCTTTGATCTAGACTACCCACCCATGAACACTGTCCCTTCATTTTCCCTATGGGCTCTGGGAGTTTTTCTGCTGTGGCAATTGGTGGTGTCCAGTACAGAAGCTAATGAGGACAGGGCAGGAGCCTCAGGCTTGCATGTTCAGAAACCATCACTCAGGGTGATTCAGGAGGATGAGCTCACAGATTTGCCTCCTTTGACCTTACAGGGAGAAACAGAGAATCAGAACATAGCTCATGTGAAGAATTTTATAGAATGTCAGGGGCCCTGGAGATTATCAGCTCCAACTCCTTGTTTTTTTTTTTCTTTTTTTTTTTTTT